GTTGTAGTGCATGCTGTAGTGCATTTCATTGGTTAAAAAAACCTTCTATTCAACTTTTAATTGACAGAATAATGACATTTGTCAAAAAGCACCATTCGAAACTGGTGAACTGTAAAAGCCATCAAGCTTCTGGTTGCTACGATACAACAATTATATCATGTGCTTGTCAGAGGAGACAACTTTTCTCAATGCCAATTCTTTTTCATAGACTCCTCTAAAAGGTGTAATTTATCGAATCTACACTGACAACCAACAAATTGTTGTGTTAATAAGGCAAAATATAGGCTTCATATCATCATCAACAGAGCCTTTGGCCTACTTTCATAGAGAAGAAGAAGAAGATCAAGGGAGGAAGACACCGTTTTTATAGAGAGGAACTCGTTATAATAATGCACCTTATACTCACGGAATGTGACCTAATGAGACTCATATTGTGCGGTCATACAATTTGAGTTGCTCAAGTCATCATAAGTATTCACAAAATATTCGAATAGAAAGAACCTACTTTAACTAGTGACCGTTGTTATGACAGGTTTTGTCGTATCAACGAGCAAGTGAACTCTGCCATGGTGACTCTCAACATGCCAGACTTCATCGCTAAGTTCGTCTTTGCTGCGGGGTAGCACTTTTTGGACTCAGTAACGCCTGCCTATAGCTTGTTCCATCTACCTCGGTCTATGAGGTTTTCATTGGTGATGGCTATGCTGGCTATGCTGGCCATGGTTACGTGAAGGAATGGCCACATTTGCCCTGACACCGATTGCCAAAAAATTTATAGAACTTGTCCTGACGCGATTTACGCCATGAATGAGCCAGTTTGAAAGCTACAAATTTGCTCTTTTGGCCAATCCCTCATTTGGTTGTAGAAGTGCATGTTAAGGATGGCTATAGATAGATTGTAAATAAATCAGATTATAGTAATAATTTTCGGATTATTGATATTCACGAGCAGACGATCACTGGCACAATCTTTGCAACTTCCGTAATTGTTAAATACCTCATCTCAAAT